CCGCCATGCACGGACCGCGGTGCCCCGCAGTACCACGGCCTCTCTTCCCATGTAAGGAAACGTCCTGGCAGCCCAAGCCAGGGCCTCACAAAACGCCGTAAACCCATGGGGCCCCAAACCCCACATGAAGGAAACCAGGTCCCAGCAGATCCAAGCCTCCCTGCGCATCCGTGTCCCCTTCTCTCTCCCATCCTCCCCCTCACCCCCTTCACTTCCCGCTCCCTTCATCTTCACCCCCTCCATTTCCCTCTCCCCTTCCCTCGTGCTCACCCTGCCCCTCCATTTCCTCTTTCTTCCCTTGTCCCCACCCTTGCCCCTCCATTTCCTCTTTCTTCCCTTGTCCCCACTCCATGCCTTTCCTCCTCCCTCATGCCTGGCTGGGAGCAGCACCAGCTTCCCCGCCTTCTGCCCTCCTTTTCCCCGGCTTCCTCCTGGGCCTGCAGGAGACCGTCCTTCATGCGAGTTACTTGGTTTCCAGATTTTTTTTCATAATTTGGATATTAATACCAACATTTTATTATCTGCATGGAGTATCTGACTGTCTAAGAAGTTATAGGTGGCCACTTTTGGTCAGGAACCCCACAGTTCAGTGCGTTTCCACCATCCCTGGCACAGTGAGCACATGTGAGCTGGGAAATCTCACATGTGAGCCTGGAAGCCTCACAGCTGCTGGCTGAAAAAGGATGTTTAGTGGTCAGGTAGAACTGGAGAGATAAGTGGCAAAGCTGCTCCTTTGGTCCTCCTCTGTCCTGCACAAAGGTTTCTTTGAAATGCTTTCCTATCCCTCAGTTTCTCAAGCTCAAATCCTGCATCAATATTAAATAATCATGAGCAATTTTGCCCTCTGCCCTTGGCAACCTGAGCTCCAGCAACTGCTCACAGCCAATAAGAGGAGTAGCAGAGGCCAGAAAAGAGCATTAGTTAAGTTTCCTCACAATAAACATGTAGCTGCATCCTACCATGGCCACAGACTTGCAAATCCAAATGAAAATACTGTGGGGAAAATTTTCAGTAGTCTAACACGTGCAGAACTGCCAGGGTCAACTAATTAAGAGTATTAAAAGTGTTAAAAGTAAATCCATGACAAATAAAAATGTTTGGGAGGAGTGACTCACACACCAGAGGGCTGTGCTGCCATTCGGAGAGACCTGGACAAGGAGAAACGTGCAGAGAGGAACCTTATGGAGAGCAGTCCCTCCCAAAGAAAAGTGCACCTGGGAAGGAATAACCACACACCCTGGGAAACACTTTTTTTGCATCGGAGGATCTGCGGGGGTCCTGCTGGACAACAATTTGAATGTGGGCCAGCAGTGTGCCTGGGCTGCATTAGGGAGAGCCAGACTCTTCACTGGAAGAGTTTAGAGTGAAATTAGTGATGCTATTACAGGTATAAAAAAACACTCAACACAAATAGAGGTGCTAAAAATCTAGATCTTACTGGATAGATGTGAAAGCCTGCAGAAATTAGTAAAAAGCATGACACGAACCTAAAGCAAGTGTACCTCAGGGTCTGCAGTGACACAGAGTGACCGACAGCAATGCCACTTCTCAGTGTTAGGCAATATTCTGTACGCAATAAATAGTGGAATAAACAAACATAACATAAAATATACTTTATTTATAGTATATAGATGTATTTTACCAAGGTTTAACAAACTGAGTTTCACTTTCAACTATGTGCATAATTAAACTGTGTGAACCAGCCATACTGTAGTTTGTCAGAGTATAATATGCAAAGATACTGATTTATCTACTGGTAGAGTGCTCTGTTTTATCTGGTATGCTTATCCACATGCACATAGTATGTTTTATTTAATATTTCAACTGTAGAGATTAACAGTGTGAAGTAGCTGCCAAAGCATTTCAAAACCACTTTCCTATTAATAATTACTGTAAATGTCATAATTTATAAATTCTATTTTTCCATTTTTTACAAACATGTAATTCTACTCCTGAAATTCCCCGAGAAGAGATTAAAGCTCAACAACTATTTTCTGGCATAATTTTACATTTAAGAATTTTTAAGTAGCTTTGTACTTTATTGGAGTCTCTCCTGAAACAATGAATAAAGTCAGAGTCACTCATCAGGTTTGCTTCATTACTAATGGATAAACCAGCTGCTTCAGATGATGCCATTCCATTTAATGAATTGCTGATGATTCCCATTGACTGCATCTGCATTGAAAACAAGAAAACTGTACATGGTGTTTTATGAGTATAAACCAGTTAGACAAATAACTATACATAGGAGAAAAAAATCCAAAAAGCTGTTAAAACACTAGTGCTGAAGTCAACTGATGCATCGCTATGTTAGGTTGTTCTACTCCATACTTTCCATGTACATACTGAGGATGCGTACAAGGAGATAATACTGTATTTCCTTTCAAAAAATTGCCTACATGATCTGAAGGTTAGTCTAAAATGATCTGATATGCTAGTAACACCAATGATGCAAGAATATTATACTCGGCTTCACAAATATAAAACCATTTGAATTTAAGTAGGAATCACTGTTTGATAATAGATACTTCCTTTCAAAGTCATAGAGCATGTCACTCTCTAAGCTCACAGCCACTTTTAATGAGTTTTGTCAAGGGAAGCTTCTAACATGAGCATTTGCCAGTGATGTTTAACCTGGTGAAATATGAAGACTGCTACCAGCTCTCAGGAGGGCTGGCTTCACAACAGGATCAAGTTTAGAATTGGTGTCTTATGGCACCATGCAGCCACAAAATACTGCAATGCAGACCTCTCCCACTTGATGTTGTTTGCACCATTTTTATTTATTTTATTGCACTTGTACTGTGTGACATATCCATAGTACACATAGGTCAAAGTGGACATACATGCCGAACTTTAGAGAGCCTTCCTTTATAGTAATACCTCAAATGACATTTTAGGGAGAGAAAAGACAAAAACAAAAAACCCACAAGATAACATTTTGAATTAACTGGGGGTTATGATTGGCTTGAGCTCTACAATGAAGAAAACAAAGGTCAACTTCAAGTGATGCCACTGTTTCTTGAAGAACTTATCCATAAAATTGTTGCTTTTGGAAAATTGTTGCTTTGCAGCAGAGAGCAATATATGAATTCGTTGGATTGTGAATCAGAAAAATTGAAAACAATAAATATTTGTCATGGTGTACCCACATCTTTACTTTCCTTGGAATCTAAATCCATACTGTCTAATCTATGAAGCTATACATGGTCCTGCTCTCTGTACTCTTTCATACATTTCATATCAACAAAATATAAATGTGATCTACTTTTCTGTCACTCCAAAGCTAAGTCATAGCCTGTGAGTCAAAAGTTACTGGATCTGTAACAGATCGACTATATTTTGTCAGCCTGACTTTTTGTCCTGGACTCAAGGAACATGGAAGAATGGAAGAATCCCGTTGTTTTACCATAGAACTTTTCAAATGGTTTGTGGTGTTAAGCAATTTGAGTAAGAGCAATAGGTCTAGGCCTATTGCTGAATCAGAGCCTCAGTTCATAATCAGGTTGCAGCCCAAGTGAGAGCAGACTCAGAGGTCACCGATGCCACAAGATCATGACTGATATAAATAGAAGCTACATGGAAAATCTTGCCTTTTCTGTTACTTTCTCAACTCCCGTCTTCAGCTCATGTACCATATTGCTGATTTGCTTAGCTTTGCTAAGGCTGTCATCAGATAATTCTTGATGGTGCTCAATATGCTGATTAAAGTGAGAAAGTGGTTCTTTCCAGGCTTGCAAAAGTTTCAGTATCAAGTGTGTTAGTTCTTCTCTCTTGAAAATTAAAACAATAAAGATTTTTGTGTTAGTTTGCAGGTCATATGAACACTGTTGGAACATTCTCACTGAAATCTAGGCAGGCTTAAGATTTGCCTGGGCAATTCAGTGGTTTCCAAATATTCAGACCTTGAAGGGCACTTGGTATCTATTATTTGCTTAGATATAAGAAAAGGAAACACCAAGTTTTCACATTACTACTTCTCAGCTTAGACTACTATGCTCTATAATACCTAAAACTGAAATACAACATTAGCAAAGTTGTGGCACTTCTGTTAAAGTCATTTTCTACTGAAGTTTTCAGTAACTCCTGGGTGTCTCATGAACCCAAGAAAGCTCATCTAGACTTATAAGTTTATTGGTGTGGAAGTGCAGGCACTTCCTCACACCTGCAGTAGGTACAGCTCTGTCAGTGAAGCTCTCATTCAGACAATTCTAAAAGGATGGTTGCTTTTCCAGAAAGAAGAGAAAGAGAAACTAGATGGCCATAACAGCTCGCTCTCTCTTGCAGGGGAAATTCAGAAAAAGAGCTGAATGGTTAAACCTTTCTATGGCAGATAAGGTCTGCTTTCCCATAGCCCTTCAAGGCGAGTTTAGGAACATCTTGGGCAAAGCCCCACACAACCAATAAAATAACATTTGTCTAAGTTTGTATCCTCCTCAAAGCAGGGGCTTCTGCTGCCGTATCTTCCACTTTGCGGTCCCTGCTTTTCCTCTGCTTAAGGAAACTCTTGCTGCTTTCCTCTATACCAAATTTGGGATTTCCCCTTGGCCGTGACACATCTAAACCAGCCTGCTGCTCTCTGCCCTTGCCTAATTACAGACTCAAAGCCATAAT